AATAGACCCACACATATGTGGTTAATCACTTTTTGACCAAATGCCAAGGCAATTCAGTGGAAATCTTTTCAACAATTAGTGCTGGATCAACTGGATAGCCACATGGAAAAAAATAACCTTTGACCCCTACTGCACACCATACACAAAAGTTATCTCAAAATGGATTGTATATGTGAAACCTAAAACTATGGGTCAGGGGTGGGAAACCTTTTTTTTGCCAAGGGCCATTTGGATATTTATAACATCATTCTCGGACCCTACAAGATTATCAACTTAAAAATTAGCAGCTATGTTTGGTCAAGCATTTAATTAAATCACCCTAAGGCCTTGGTGGGGCCAGAACAAATGATTTCTTGAGCCTTGTACGACCCATGGGCTGGAGGTTCCCCATCCCTGCTATGGGTTTCTAGAAAGAAAAAAAAAAAAAACATTAAAGATAAGCTTTGTAGCCTTGAGATAGGCAAAGATTTATTAGATATGGGACAAAAATATAAATTGTAAAGGAAAAATTGATAAATTGGAATTTATCAAAATAAAAGCTTGATCTTCAAAATTCATTGTTAAGAGCATGAAAATACATGCTATAAAAATTAGTGCGTATTAATATATATGCACTATATGTATTAGGCAAAAGAATCATCTCCATAATATAAAAAGAACTCCTACTTTATAAATAATAAGAGAAAAACTCTCCTCTCCTCCCTTCTCCAGCAAATGAAATTTAAAAAAAGATTTAAACAGACATTTTACCATAGAATATATATAAATGGCCAATAAATATAGGGTGACCCCCAAAATGTAAACAGACATTTTGAATAATTATAAAGACAATGTTTATTAAAATAGATTTCATTTTCACAATTGAGCTATCATCTGGGAAACTCTGTATATATTATAAAAAGACTAGAGGCCCAGTGCATAAAAATTCATGCACTGGAGGGGGGATCCCTCAGCCAGACCTTCCCCCTCTCACAGTCCAGGAACCCTAAGGCCAGGAGGCGACCCAGCAATTAGGGGAAGGTGATGCTCCATCATATCTCTGCTGCTGCCACTGCTGGCAGAGCAAGGCTTAGTCGTCCTTGGTTACCTGAGCCTTGGGCAGCCCTGGGAGGCTGGGCAGCTGCCATTTGAGGCTTGCTTGCACTTCAAACCATCCCTGGGCAGCTGGGGGCTGAGGGAACTGGGGTAGTCCGGAGGCAGGCATGTGGAACGGCTAGGCCCGAAGTGGGCTCAGCCTCTGCACATGCCTGCCACCCCAGCAGGGCTGAGGGGACTGGGCACCACCATTTTGTGGCTGTGGGCACCACCATCTTGAAGGGCATAACAGTCCATTAGCATATTCCTTCCTAATTGGCTGTAGGCATCACCATCTTTGAGGGCAGGGCAGTCAATTAGCATATTCCCTCCTTATTGGCTGTGGTCGCTGCATTTTGTGACAGTATGAAGGTCAATTAGCATATTTCCTCTTTATTAGCTAGGATGCTCAACACCATAGTCATTAAGAAAATACAAATTAAAATCACAGTGAAAAGCCAATCTATGCCTATTTGACTATACCAATTGTATTGATGTGGGAAAACTGAAAGACTCACATATGACTGGTAGAAATTAAATTTTTGAAAACAGTTAGGTAGTCTCTTAACACATTAAGCATGCAGTCCTGTCCCACAAAATAAAAGCCTATGTCCACACAAAGACTGATATATTTTCACAGCAGCTTATTGTAAGAGTCGTTCACATGTAAGTCTATCCAAACATGAGTGGATAACAAATTGTGGTATATCTATAGAATGGACTACTACTCCATAAATTAATTAATTAATTAATTAATTAATTAATTAATTAATGGTACACTAGACAACATCAATGAATCAAAATCCTTGAAGTAAAAAAAGTGAATAAAAGAAGGCAGACAAAAATTAGTGTGTATTGCATAATTCCATTTATATAAAATTCTAGAAAACACAAACTAATCTATAGTGTTTGGAGATGGAGATGCAAAGGGACTTGAGGAAAATTTGGGGATGAGGACAATGTATGTTATAATGGTGATAGTTTCATGGGTGTATAACATATGTCAAAACTCACCAAATTCTACACTTCAAAATGTTCTTACATCAAGTTGTAAGAACAACAACAGGGAAAGTATACATTTATTAAGGAATTTACAAGTTACTGAAAAATATAATATAATAAATAAAAGAGTGCTCCCTTTGATTCAGCAAGCCCAGGCTTGGAAATTTATTCTACAAAAAAAGAAGTGCCAATGTATTTGAGAAACTTTTATCACCATGTTGTTATAGAATCAAAAACAGAAACAAAGAGCCCTGGCCAGAGTGGCCCAGTTGGTTGTAGCATCGTCCTGTACATCAAAAGGTGGTGGGTTCGATTCCAGGTCAGGGCATATGTACACCTAAGGTTGTGGGTCAGGGCGCATATGGGAGGCAATGGATCATTGTTTCTCTCTCCCATTGATCTCTCTCTCTCTCTCTTCCTCTCTCTTCTTCTCTGTAGAATTAATGAAAATAGTCCTTGGGTGAGGACTGAAAGAAAGAAAATGCAGAAACAACTTTAAGTATCTCTCATAAGGAGGAGGATCAATACTGAAAGATAAGACAGAGGGCTGGAGACCAGGACACAGGTTTTATTAAAGGAGCAGGAACCCTGCTGGGCTGCCTTGCAAAGGAAGAGAGCACATGTGGCGGAGTGAAGGCGTCTTTTGAAGGGAGGAAAAGGAAGGGATGGGGCTTAGGATACTCTACACACACTGATTGGTGGTTTCATATAAGGTACATAATTAGAGACTTAGGAATCGGGGGCTTAAGGTATTTGGCAGGTGCTGATTGGTGGTTCAATGTACAGTCCATATAACGTGCCTGGTTAGGAGCTCAGGAATGTTTGGGCTGCAGGTGGAGTTTATGTCATTCTTCATCCATCAGTTGGGGGAAGAGAGGATTTCTCAAATATGTTATCAAGGACTATTGCACAACCATTTAAAGAATACACTGTATGTATATACTTCAACTTGGAAGGATATTTCAGCTATATGTCTAAATGAAAACAAAATGTAAATTACTGTTCAGACTGTTATGAAATGACATGAGATAGAGGGACAAATGGATAGGCATTCATAGATGGATGGACAGGTAGATTTTCTACATATGTGCTTCCTGTATGAACACATTAATCTGTTGCTAGAAAGTCTTTGGGGGAAATTTTGACATATTTATGAATTATTTAACTTGTAAAACTATGTTTTACTTTTATTCTTTAAAAATTAAACAGAGAAAGAATTAAAATGAACACAAGATTCAACTTGCTTTGAAATGCACCAAAAAAAAAAAAAAAATAGGTTGTATGAGGATTAGAGAAGGAGCCCAAGAGACAAAAGTTCGATAAAGAAAGAGTAATAAAACATCAGTGGTACAATCTAGGTAGACACACATGGAAATTTGCTATACCACTTGACAATGTCCACAATGACCTTCAAGGGAAAAACTAACATGAGGTGAATAGATGATGATGATAGATAGGTAGAGAGATAGATAGAGATGTGAGTGGGTGGATAAATTCACCATTGCAAAAGTGAATTCATGATGTAACAGGTGACTAGCTTCTTCCTGGGTTGCCCAGAGTCAGGCATACTTTTTTGATCATCCCAAGAGCACACCTTCTGAGCCATTTAATCTTATGTTGGGGTTAGTGTGTGATGCACTCTGGAGTGAACTCCAAGTCTGGGCATTTCCCATGTGTACAGACTCTTTAGATATACGTAGGTCTGTGGAAGGTTTGGGGCTTCAGAAGTACCTGGTACCTCAGGGTTCTGAGGGCAATGTCTGCCTCTTGGGGTTTCTCTTCCCAATGTCCCAGAGGAGCTCTGGTCACAGGCTGCCACGTACCAATTCCTACTGAGTTCTCATTCTGCAGCCTACCTGGGAACGCTGTTGCAACAGCGTTTCTCCCTGAGGAAGCCAAGGCCCAAAGCAGTGATGTCACCTACTCTAGGTCTCTAGTCTAGAGAGCATAGGGTTTTGGAGGCATTCCTAAGTTCACACTCTTGACACTTCTGCCCATGTGGCTGTCTGTACATGGGAAGGGAGGCTGAGGCTTCGGACTCCATCCCAACTGCAAAGTCAACACCCACGATCACATGGGAAGTGCACCACTGAAAGCATGAGCACACAGCCAGGCAGAGCCCTGGGAGAGCGGCCTGGCTCACCTCCTTTCGTTGGCCTGTTATCTCCAGGCCACCAGGCAGGACTGGGTGGGAGATGCATACCATCTCCTGCTTTCATTCTGAGACCTGCACCCGACGTGCTCTCCTCAGCATCAGACACCCCTCGCTCCTGGAGAGGATGGAGAACTCTGGGCACAGAGTGTCTTCCCAATGAGCTCAGGCCACACCCCAGGAGGGCAGGTTGCCTCCTCCTGCAGGCTCTCTCTATCTCAGTCACCTCAATGACTCACAACGAACTCCAGTTTCTCCGTGAGGCTCTGGGCCATTCACCTAAATCCAGGTGCAGCAACAGCTGCAAGTATCCCATGTTAATGGGTCTGCATGTTAATGAGTCCAGGGGAAGCACTTTCCCCAGAAAGAGACTTCCTCCATTCTTCGCCCCCTTCCCTGGCTCAGGCAATGTGGAAGCGTGTCCTCAGAAGACCAGAATGCATGCTGGGAGCTGGGATTCCCCAAGTGGAGGGGGAGCAGGAGGAGCTGTCTTCCTAGCAGGAACTAAGGAGGCCTTGCTGTTATTATAAATCAGGCTCACATCATTTGCTGCAAATTGAGTGGTGTGACCATATGTCACTTGGGCATTAAACAAATCCTAATGAGCTAAAAAATATGTTTCTTTTAGCTAATTGACCTTTTTGGCCTTCATAAACCACTTGGTAAACATCCTCAGATAATGACTTCCAGAGAGTAGATTGTGGCTGTCAAGTGTGCTGAGAAAGGCCGACTCCTCCCAAGGCCGCCTCCTCCAGCTGCCTGCTGAGCACACATGCGTGCCTGCCTGCTGTCTGCACAACCCAAGCGTGTGCTGGAGATAACAGGCCAACGAAAGGAGGTGAGCCAGGCTGCCTCCCAGGCTCTGCCTGGCTGTGTGCCCATGCTTTCCGTGATGGTTGTCTCTGAGCCATCGATGGCTCACCTGTTAAATGAGGGAAATGCCACCCCTGGAGTAATGCAGAGAAAAAGCAGGGGTTCTGGTCCTAGACAGGACCTATGTCACTTCCATGTGAAGGAGCAGGAACTAGAAAACTGCGAGCCCAGAAGTCCATCAGCTGGGACTGGCTGTGCTCCATGCAGGCAGGGAGAGTGGTCTGATTCCCTGTGGGCCCTGGGACCACAGGGATCCAAGTCCTACTCAGGTGAGCAGAGGGCTGTGGCTGAGCTCTCAGCCAACAGGAGAACGCATGCTCCTCTGGCCTCAGAGCTAACATCATCTGACCTGGAATCCCTGATTCCGTGATGTCGGAAGACAGGTCCCCTCCTCACTCACCGAGCCCCACATTGAGGTCCAGACGTGCCATTCCTATCATGTGAAAGCTGTCAGGAGGACCACCCTGGTTTCCTGGCCGAGTGAGCAGGGCCCAGGAATAAACTTCAAGCTCTGAAGTTGATGGGGGCCTTGGGCTCGGTCTCTGCACTGTGAGCAGATGGTCCCCAGGCTTTCTCTCCACCCCACTTCCCCCACCTACTAAATCGTTTCTTTAGCTAAAAACAGGGAAAATATCTAACAGGGAGAACATGTTAGTAGCTAGTGCTTCCTTCTTGCTTGATACTGTGAAGAGCTTTATGCCTATTTTCTCCTTACTGTAATTGCACAGTGAGACCTGAGGCCACAGAGAAGAGTGGCAGCACCAGGCCTCACGTGAATTCTATCTAGTTCCAGAAGCAACGGGAAATGCTATTTACTTGCAAGTTAATGACTCCACTTGCAAGGAGACTGTCAGCCTATAATACAGCATGGAGCCTGCATGTGGCAGGAACTCAGAATAAATGGTCGCTATTCACATGGTTATACACAGAAACGACCCAGCAAGATGAGATTCAGCATACCTTCTGGTAAAACCAGCCTGTGCCAGCCCGGGGCTGAGGAGCTTGGATTAGCTGGGACTAAAGGTTAACTGGAGGTGGAAGCCGAGCCTCAGCTCCATGTTCAACCTCAGACCTTCTGCCTGCCCGCTGAGAAAGAAGGAAGGCAACCACAAGGCAGCAAGGGTGAAAGCAGCTCTGTGCAGGAGCCAGCCCCCTTCGGAGTCCCCCTGAGGAGGGAGGGGGTTCTGCTCTTTTTGTCCATGCTGCTCTGTGGCCTGGCTGGCCCCACACATCTCTTCCTGCTGTGCCTGGTACAAGGCCAAGGTCCTGTTGGGTAACTACTGCTTCCCAGAGAGCCTGATGGGATGCAGGGAGTCATCGGCGGGCTGAGAGTTGTGAGAGCCTGGGCACCTCGGACCCTCAGACACTGGGCCACATCCTGACGGCGGGCAGGAGGGCAGAGCTTCTTGAACCACTCCACCACCACCACCACCACCACTACCACTGGTCACCTCCTTTGAGCCCACAGCAAGTCCCAGCACTCACCTGCCTCACACAGAGGAACTGGCTGCCTGGTACAAAGGGCACCGCCATGGTGTTCTTGAGGGCAGCATGGGCTCCTGCGGGTGAACAACATCTTGAGCCAGGAGGTGGTGAGCAAGCTCGGGGGCTTCCTGATGGCCAGTGTCTGGAGGGAGCTCAGGGGCCCTGCATCGGGGCCACATTTCTGTCATCCCTACACCATCTCCTACCTTCACCCACGAAACTTGGCCTCGCACCTGGACACCATCTATGAGCGCCCATCCCATACAACCACCGAGACCGGGACCCTACCCAGGTCCTGGGGGAGGTCCAGTGCCCACAAGGTTGGCTCTCACCAGGAGCCCCACTGCTGGAGTGGAGAGAACATGCTCACACCCTCAGAGGCGCAGGGCTGTCGCAGTGCGCAAGCGAACCCGGGCACCTCGGCCTCCTGATGTCGAGGCTAGGCCAGTCCCAGTTCTTCCTCACGGTGCCTGTATCCAGACTCAGGGCCCCTGGGCGGGACAACCCACTGTGGGAAGGCAGTGGGCGCTGCCCTGTATGGAGACGCCACCTAGCAGGCCCCAGAGGAGGCCCTGGCCATCCGCAGCCTGTGCAGGGCCTGCAGGAACTAGCGCTGGGGGATCACGTGCCCGCCCTGTGCCCTGGCCCACGTGGACATCACCACTGTGGCTCCCAGGAGGGTCTGGCCGCTCAGCGCTGGTCTGCAGGGTGTGTCCCAGGCTGTGTCCACACTGTGACCCAGGACCCAGGCTCCTGGTACAGGCCTCGGGCCCCAGGAACTTCCAAGGGGCCTGAGCCTGGGGCAGCAGCCCCCCAGGATGTCCCAGTGGTGCAGGAGAAGTTTCCCGGCGGCCCTTGTGGACTCCGGGTTCCGGGGTCCATGCTGCTGGGCCACGTGGGCTACCCGTTTGGGCCTCTTTGCCAAGGCCTCTGTGCTGGGGCACTGGGCCCGTGCATCCTGTGGCAGGTGTGGGGGTCTCTGCAGGTCGCAAGCCCCTGATGGTGGACCTGTGCATGAACCCCGTCGGGGAGGGCCATCTTCCCAGGTGTCCCTGCTGCTGTCCTTCCTCCAGGCCCCGAACGCCGGGGCATTTGCCTCTTCACTACCTAGGACCACAGCATCAAGGTCCCACACGGGAAGGAAGGGGGTTTGCTGGGACAGCACTGAGGCTCCTGGGCTCACCACCAAACAGCCAGGCCCCCAAGGAGCCGGCCTTCCTCCTGCCTTCACCAGCTGGACCACGCTGGTGGGCGAGGTCACTGCGGGCAGCCCGCTGCACAGAGCACATGCCCCTGCTGCAGACCCCGAGGGCGGCCTGGTGCTCCCGGCCCCTGTTCACCCTCATCAGCATCAGCAGCAGCCGCAGCGAGTGCTGGCTGGGGTCAGCGAGGCGCCGCCATCGGGCTGGCCAAGGAGGCCCTGGACAGGGCCCAGGAGTGCTGGTGTTGCACCGGGGCCTGGAGTCTCCGTAGAGGGCACGTGTGTCTGCTGAAGACTCATTGCACAGCCTGAGGCTGTCGGGCAGGTAGGAGACCTGCTATGAGCCAAGGAGGGTGAGGGGGGGTCCTACCACACAACCATGGACCTGCAGTCCTGGGCTTCCCAGCTCACGGCTGACCTGCCAGAGGTGTCTGTCTGGGGACCACCGTGCTCTGGTGTTGCACAAAGGAGGCGCTCCCTCTCCTGCCGCTCCTCCCCCAAGAACCTCCTACCTCATCAGGCCTGTTCAAGAGGGAGGTGCCACCAGCCGGCTGGGCTACATGGGCTTTGATGCCATGGCTGAGCTGGAGACCATGAAGGCATCGGGCCACAGCTGGTGCAGCTGGTGTGGCAGAGGCTGGTGGACAGGACCGGCCACACTGGTCGTTCTGTGCTGCAACCCTGGCAGCTACTCCACGGTGGTGCCCCTGCTCTGTCCTACTTTTGTGAGGCAGAGCCAGCACAGAGCTACCTCGAGGGTCACAGAGGTGCAACCCTGCCCCAGGTGCCTGGTCAGCACTAGGCCCCCACAAGGACCTGTACGTCCTGATGAGCCCCCGGCAGGTCGGCAGCCGAGGCTTTTGCTCACACCATGCAGGACCTGTGGTGGGCCACCATCAATGGGAGCCACAGCTGGAGGGACGCTCTCTGTGGGCATCTACCAAGTAGACAGAAGTCCCTTATATGCCTCCATGCCCATGCAGTTGGCCCTGAGCGCCAGCATTGGTGAGGCCTGGGACCTGGCAGGAGTAGAGTACGATGTCACAGTGCCGTGAGCCAGGCCCTCTCCACCCCCGGGACATAGCGGGTGCCTCCTAGGTGCCCCATGTGCTAAGACCACCGGGAAGCTGGTTCCCAATAACTATGCCTCTCCTGACGTGGCTGCCAAACTGAGTCATCTGCAGAGCCGTTACTCGAGGTGACCTTTGACGGTGGCTGGCTGAGATGCTGGGGCTGACTGGCAGGTGCTATCTGGAGACTACACCTGAAGACAGTCCGGATTCCTAAGGACTGTGCCCATGCAGGTGAGAGGCAGGGGGCTGGGTCAAGCACTGTCCCGGTAGGGGGCTGACTGACTGCACGCCCAGGCTCTGTGCGAGGTGCAAGGCGACAGCTTCCAGACTTGTTTTCACCTTTGAGCTCTTCAGCACATGTGTCAAACACAAGGCCCGCCAGGCCTTGCAATGTGGCCCGCACCGTGTTGTCATCACTGCATTCCGCTGCGTTTCCATCACAATGACAGTTTATGACTGTTCAGTAAACCATTCGGCCCGCGATTTAGGCTGGATTTTAGATTTTGGCCCCTTCTCTGATTGAGTTCGACACCCCTATCTTACAGTCATATCTTGTTCTCTCTCCCTCTGCATCCCATCCACTCCCATTATTGGGGGGGGGGAGGGGCGGTGGGTCCTGAGCACTTCTGTGGACATTGGTACCCACAGGACCTTGGTTTGGAAACCCCTGTTATAACAGGCGCTACACTCTCACCTGGGTGGAAGACAGGTGTTTGTGGGCTTCTCATTGTCAGTGCTAGGAAGAGTCATAGTTCGTGACACACTGAGTGGGGAATCAGTGCTGAGGATTCTGCTGCTGGGTGGGTGCAGGAGTTCTCCTGTCCAGTGGCCAAGGGGAGCAAGTACTTCCATCAGCTACAAGCTTCACTGCACATAGCACTTAGCACAGCTCTCCACACCTTTCATCATCCATGATGTCACCGCACAGGGGGAGCAATTGTCTTGGGTTCCTTTAAAAGAGGGCCTGAGACAACGGCGTGGGTGTAGGCGATGTGCGTGTGGGAGGCAGTCACTGAAGCAGGAATGAAGGGGCAGAAAGAGGGAGGCATGGCGGGAAGCTAGGTGCTTACTGATTCCAACAGGATGCTGACAAGTGTGAGGAATGCCTCCTGCAGCCACCTCTCTGCAGCTCCTGTCCTCCATTGGCTGAGGCTGTGCATCCTGAGCCAGGTGTGGGGGCCTCTGCAGGCAGCGGAGCCCCTGATTATGGATGCGCATCAGAATCCCGTCCTCCATGGTGCCCCTCCTGCTGTCCTTTCTCCAGGGCCCAGACACCAGCCCTGTGCCTCTTCACCACCTATCACCACCACCCTCATGCGGGAGCACTTCAGCTTCTGGGACTGCTGGACCTCTCACACTCTGAGGAAGCTTAGAGAAGGTTCTGAAGTGGAGAGCAGGAAAACAGGTGTGTGCTGGAGGCTCGGGCCTGTCAGCTGGGGTCCAGTTGCAGCTGAAATCAGAGGGGGGCTGAGGATGCCAACAGCAGCGACTGCAGAATTGTCCATTTCCCAGAATCAGAAGCTGAGGTCTGGAAGGTGCAGAAGCGAATGGCCCCCAGGGGCTGTTCTTAAGGACAGGACAGAGCATGACCTACAGGCCCTGGGTCCCAGTCAACAGTGGTGGCCTGATGGCTCCTTGCCCTCAGTCCAGCTCACAGAGCCAGCAGCCTTGGAGAAGCTTATAGAGAAAGGAGAGGCCCAGGCATGCTGGAAAATTGAAGAAATACAATGTGGGTGCAAGTAAAAGTAATAGTAAATGGAACATAAAGTCCCCTTCCTCATGACATCAAGAAGTGTCTGGTGAGAGATCAGGAAAAACAGTATAGAAACAATGTGTAAGCCTCTCAGCTCCAGGGCATGGGGTTGGCATGCTGAGCATGCTTGGTAAGGAAGCTCATAACCCCAGGCTACCACCCATATAAGCTCCCAGCACCTCAGAAAGATTGGTTCCTTTTATATACCCTTAATAATTCTCTTGCTATAAAGGAAATTTCTGCTGTCCACTTATCTAAGCTTTAAACTCTGCTCTTCTCCTGACCCTGAGCTGGATCTCTCCATCTCAGATCCTTTCCCTTAAAGTAATTGAAGACCTGGTCAAGTTTCCTTCCACACTAACATGCTTGAGGACAACATTGGCTACTTGAGGTCTGACATGTTTGGAGACTGTGAGCTGCTCACCCAGGTCTCAGAGCTGCTGGTGGAGCATATCGGGAAGAAGATTGTACACAAGGACGCCATGATTATTGACATGAGGTCAATGGGCTGGGGGTCAGAGGTTCCTGGTCAGGCCAGGACTGCTGCTGGAAGGTAGTCAGAGTTATGGGCCCAGTAGAGAAGAAAAAGAGCCCTGAGAGTTGAAAAGGACTGGGTCACCTGGCTCTCAGGGCTCTGCCAGGTAGCCCAGGGTTCTGGTTTAATTGACTGGGTGAGACCCCAGCACTGGTAGATTTTAAAAACTCCTCTGACAATCCCAATGTGCTTTCCAGACTGAGAGTTAATGAGCTCATTTGCTGATCCCCAAACGTGCCTGGTCACAGGATTCCTTGGAGAGAGAGAAGAAAGGGAGACCAAAGAATACTGGTTCCAGTGCCCCGCCCCAGTCCCACTGAGTCCAACACTCCAGGGGCGAGGCCCAGTCATCTATACATTTGACAGGCATTACCCAGGTCATTTTGATGATCATTCGTGTCTCGGGAGCTAGGTCTCTACCTGTGGTTGTGCTTCACCCTGGTCATGAGAATCATAACGCTAAGTCCCAGAGGGCATTTACACATTAGCCACTATTGCCACAAAAGGAATTCTTTGCCTCACAAAATGATTGTTGGGGGATTCTTCCAGCCAGCCACTTCTCTTCTGCTTCTGTGAGGGTGTGCCTGAGAGAGAGGGTTTCCTCAGAGAACAGGGGAGGTGGAAGAATCCCCTCTGGCAATGGCCAGGGGAGGTTCCCCCTAATTCCCAGGTCCAATGGCAGCTCGTCCACCTGATAGTGTAATTTTGGAAATGAAATATATTTTAATAAACACTGCCCTTTCTCATTATTTGAAGTATGTGTATACATTTTGGGGGATGATATATATATATATATATATATATATATATATATATATATATCGCCATCAGATTATCAGCTACATCAAACCTACATGATGTCTTTTAGGTGGTTGAACCAAGAATGATATTTTAAGTTTCTTCTCTATACGTTTCTTTTTTCTTACATCCTTATAATGAGTATATAAGATTATTTTCAAATGCAGCAATCATTATTTCAAAAAATAAAAAAGATCAAATAAATTACAGAATTGAGTCAGTAACCATACCTTAGTAATCACTAATGATTGAAAGTTGGGTTTTACTTTCAATATCATTTGGATTTCTGCGCTACTGGCATTTATTGACAGTTTATTTCATTTAAGGTGTCGGCTAGAATCTGCGGGGTTCACAGGTGACAAGATTCTGGTGGGTGTTGAACAGGGGAAGGCACAGAGCAGCTCTTGGGCTGGGGGCTGTGCACGGTCCTCTCCCATGGCCAGAATCATTAGCATGTCCACAGGAGCCAGCCAAGACAGAGAAGCTCAGGAAGCCACAGCAGCTCACTCAGCTAGCACAATGCATGTTTGTCCAGCATTTGCCACCCAACACTCACACCCACTTTGGGGTTCAGAGAATTGCTCCCATATGAGCCTGTGGGAAACAGACTCGCTGAGGAGCAGTGAGTGGTTGGGAACCTAGGTTTCCGCTTCAGCCTATTGAGGTAGGAAGGCAGCCCAGTCACCTCTCAGTTGTGTAACTCTGGGCAATTTACTTCACCTTCCTGGGCCTCAGTTTGCTCCTTTCTCAATGGTAGAGATACCAGCACCTTTGGGTGCTAGGAAATTAAAGGAATTAATTTGGTGCCAGCCCATGTGAGCTGGCATCGTTTCCCCACTCTGAAGCTGTACACCCAGAAGCCTCCTCTCCCAGCCCCTGATGGCTGGGTTTTAGGCTCATGGTCCTTCCTGAGCCCATCAGAGACACTTGTGTAGGATGTTTAATCTGGAGCAAGTGACTTGGGATCTGAGCAGCAGCAGTGGCCAGATGCCCAGTGTGCACCGCGTCTTCAGCCGTCCTCCTGCCTGACCATGGCTTTGGCGCTGCTGAGTAGCTCTTTGTCCCTGTCCCTGGTCCAGCTTGGGTCCCCACCTTGCTACCCAACCTTGGGTGCAGCCCAGGCTCCTCTCAAGATATCCCTTTCTGCTTCAATCAGCCATGTCTCTGCTTTATTTCTTTCTTTTTTTTTTTTTAATATATTTTATTGATTTTTTTTACAGAGAGAAAGAGAGAGGGATAGAGAGTTAGAAACATCGATGAGAGAGAATCATCGATTAGCTGCCTCTTGCACACCCCCTACTGTGGATGTGTCTGCAACCAAGATACATACCCTTGACCAGAATCAAACCCGGGACCTTTCAGTCCACAGGCCGACACTCTATCCACTGAGCCAAGCCGGTTTCGGCCATGTCTCTGCTTTCTGACAACAGACTTCACTGCCTGGGCAGCTGGGTAGGGAGTAGGCGAAGGTGAACACACATCTGTCTGGCTGTTTTAGGAATCTTAGGGGGAGTCCCAGGGGGGTTTCTGCTGAATACTCCTCAATTTTCCAGGTGGTTCTTTCAGGATCCAAGTCTCTCAGAGCCACGGCAGGTGGTCCTGGTGCCGCCCACCTGGCTGTGCTGCTTCTCTGGGCCTGGAGCTTAAATGCAGCTGAAGCCCAGATGTGATCCTGGGACTTCTGGATCAGCTGTGATTGCTCTTCCAGTTTGTTCAGCTGTCTGTCTCGGTTTCCCTGTTCCACTTGTCCTGGCTCACTGACCTGCCTCATTAGTTCTGGTTCCCGGGACCCACATCTGGGCCACAGCCTGCCATGCTCTCTGTAGTTAGAAGAGGAAAAGGAAAGGTGACCTTCACTGTCAGCATCCTGAGGCTTGGCTCAGCCCAGCTGGGAAGCAGGGCAGGGACCTCTCCAGGAGGAGTGTGAAGGAGGCACCCGAGAGACCCCATAGGTGCTCTCTCTTGTCAGGGGGGCCTGGAGTCCAGGGGGAGGCCCAGCTCTTCTCCCAGCACCCTCCTGCTTCCTGTTATGCCCCTGCATCTGCCCACACAGCCAACACAGCCAGTGGCCACCTTTGTGGGCCCTGGCTACCTACTCAGCTTTCATGCAACAGGGGACACAGCTCAAAAAGAAAATTTATACGGCCCATGATACACTGCTGGACAAGGAAAACTTCCCCACTGGACAGGGCCATTGCCACCTTCTCCACCTACTGGTCCCATAGAGTTAGTGCCACTTGGCCTCCGAGCCCATTCTTTGCCCTGCTCACCAGGGCAGCCAGTGCTAAAAACAGCCTCCTGGCCCAGGCCCTTGGGAATGGCAAGGGCAGCAGAGGCCGCTGGTGTTTTGTTCTGGCCCTGGGAAAGCACGGATGGTCAGGGAAGAAAAAGCTGAATTTAAAGAATCCCAACCCTTCTCTCAGCATGCACTGACTCCTCAGTCCCCATTCAAAATGGTTGCCAAATAAATTACTTTCTCCTAAGAAATGACACAAATCAAAACACATCAGAAAATGATTTATTTTTTAAATAAAAGGTTTGTTTTCTATGGGATTTATACCTTGCTATATGAGGTTTACCCCACAAGACATCTGGTACAAAAAACAACACATGCAAACATTTCTCTGAAAGGAAGTGGCCTGCAGGGGAGGCCTGCTGCCTCCAGGAGGTATGAGCACCTTTCAAAATAAGGAAGGCACCGGGTTCTCCTTGGGACAACTCCTGCTGCCTTTCACCCTGAGAATTTTCCTCCTGTGCCCAGAGGAATCAGGCAGTATGGATGAGGCTAGCAGCACCAGGCCCAGCACCTGGTGATACTGGGACCATAACAGATTGAGGGGTCTCCAGGCGGTTCCTGCCTCTTCCTCTCCCTCTCCCTGTCCCCCACCCCCACTACTGTGCTCCTGGAGTCCCTGCATTCCATTCCCACCATCAGTTTAGACTTTAGAGGCCGCCTGCTTTGGCTGACCTCTAATATCACAAGCAGCGCTGATTCTGGCCTGCACTCAGCCGGGTGCTGAGCCTTTGCCCAGGACATTGAGCTGCGGGCTGTCAGGACTGCCTTTTGTCATTTCCCCCTCTTGCCCCAAATCTGCAGGAGTCCCTCACTTTCCATAACCTAATATATAGTCACTTGAAGAGAATCCACAGCCACAAGTTGGCCAAAAGTTAAAATCTGGGATCCAAGACTTATCAAGGTTTTACTTCTAGATAAAAACAGGAAGTGTTAAAATTGAGAAATAAAATAGACCTTAATTCAAAATGTCTTATTTAGCATCTTTGGCACATTTTTTTGGACTTTGATAAGTCTTAACTGAATGGCTACTGGGAGTTAGTTTATTAGAATACAATTAGCCATTTTTCTAGCCACTGTAGCTTTTCCTTCTCCTTGCCTAAGAAGTTGGCCAAGCTTTTCTGTTCATTGACTTGGTGGCTTCTGGTTACCTAATAACAGCACTGCCAGAAAATCACCAAGTCCCAGGTCCCCGGGGGCCTGTGGGAGGAGGAGAAAAGATAGACCAGACTGGGGAATAGTGGCAAAGCCACCAAGGCAGGGTGGGGAGACCGCATGATGTTAAAAGAGCTGCCTTCTTGGGTGCTGGGGAACTTTCTCTGAACTCGAGAGGCAGGAGAGGAATTTCCAAAAGACAGATTGCATATCCTACAAAGCCAAAGATTGAGGTGCAGAGATTCAATGTGACACAGAGAATTTAAGGAATATAGCAATTGTTACCCAAGGCTTGGGGAGAAAAGTTTTTACCTGCTGACGTGATGTTTTGTGGCAACATCACTGGCCAACATTTAAATGGTACAGAAGGTGGCAGAGGGCGCTTGGGCAAAATCATGATTAAAAGTGACTCCTCTCCAGCAGACGAAGGAAAGCAGGAGAGAAGAATGGGCGAGACAAGATTCAACCGTCAGGAGGACTTTGGGGCCTGGCTGTGACAAGTGGTGGCTGCCACATTCATCACCTGTAAGCCATCACCTCTGTGTGTCACCTTCAGTTTGTCAATGTCAGTGTCTGCAGAGCAACTTGCATTAACATCACTTTTTACCAAAATAAAGTTCATCTTCAGAGTCAATTTCTAACAAACTGAATTCCATCTTAAAAACTGGGCTGGAGAAAGATATCTTATTGTGCTTCTTCATAAGTTTAATTAGTTTAATTAGCTTTTATTAATTTACCTTTTTTTTTTTTTTACTGTCTCTCTTGCATGTGAGTGGTGCAGTCACTGTTAGTAATAATTCCCTGTGAGACCACAGCTGTCCAGCAGGTCAGGAAGACGCACAGACGGGCCTCACAGGTGCCTCAGGAACCCTGGCTCGGCCTCACCACCATGCGCCCTACATTACTTTGCAGCCAGCTTCCCCACAGGCACAGTGCTTACTGCCGTGAAGTGAGGGAATGGGTGAGAATTCTAAACTCTTGATTCTAAAAGTCTTGTGTTTTCAAATAATGAATTTATGCCTTTCAAAGTGATTTCCCAGAAATTATGGACCAATCCAGTAAGCCAGAGGAAGATGGCCGAGGTCAAAATGCAGTGAGAAGCTGATATGAGCATTGTGGGCAGTGGGCAGAAGCAGCCTGCTGAGCACCTGCCATGTCCCTGCATCGCTCTGCTGCTGGGGAGACAGCAGTGCCCAAAGCAGCAGCACCCCTCATGAGCTCACACTCCATGGATGGGGACACAGCCAACAAGACAGATGGCATGTAAGCTGGTGAAAGCACTAACGAGAAAAGCAATAGGAAGGGGGGGCAGGCAGGGGGCATGCTGAAGCCAATGTCTGGTCCTAGTCTGTAAAGCGCCCTCAAGGACATATGAGCACTTGGAGCAGATGGTGGCAAGCGAGGAAGGATCTGCCCTCGGCATGAGCAGGTCCCGAGGTCCTGTCCTCAGACCCATGGTTTTAGGAAAAGTCTGTTAGCCTCCGGCAGTTCAGCTTCTTCTGCAGAAAATGGGAATTGAAGCACTCCCTCCTAGGTGCCATGCGGATGAAATGAGACCTCGAATGACAGTGTGGATCCTCAGGCTCAATCCTGCAAAGGCCCTTGTGCCCACCTGGGACAGCAGAGGGGGCTCCCAGCAGCCTCAGCCTCTCTGGGCACACCCTGCCCCCACACAGCTGCCCAAAGGGCTGGCCTGCAGGCCTTTCCTCCAAGCCTCCCTGAGAACTGAGGTCTCTGCTGGTGCCTTTAGGGAGCCCCTGGCTCCTTTCAGATGCAAAGGAAATGCCTGGGGGGGGAGGGGGGGCGGGGATCCTCTCCTCCAGCCCATCCTCCCCTTCCCTCTGAGGCCAGAGGCCCCCTCCCTCCAAGTGCCTCTCAGCACTGAACCTCCATGCCTGGTCCAGACTCTTTCTTTGAGGCCCTGGTGCATCTCCATCTCCTCTGAAGGCTGCCCCCCTCCACACACACCCCCAGTCCTCCTGCCCGCCTTTAGCACCCTGGCACCTCTATGCTCTAACCACCCACCTCCCTGCCTGAATCACCAGCACTGCTGACTTGGAGGCTCAGTTCATGCCCCCCACTCCTCAGAAGGCCTCCGGGGATGCCACACACCCCTCCCCACAGGTCAGACTTAGGCGTGCTCCCCATGGTACCCCCACTAGATCCTCGCAACCACAGGCCTGAGCCTGTGATGGAGGCCCCACCTGAGGACTGCAAGCTGCAGCACAGATTGAAGAAATCCTGAGAGTGAAGTGGAAACCAGTAAAAACACTGCACTGACCCAAAAAGCCTCCCAGCAGATGGCCTCTGCACAGCCAGGCATGCCTGGCGTGCGCATGGATAAGCAGAAGAGATAATACTGGGACCCAGAACTCTCCCGCTTCCACATGGTAAGCCTTGAGCCTTGCACATGCTTCCTTCCTGGGAGCTACGGATGCAGAACATGGAGAACTATAGCTGACTATTGATCCCAAGTCTTCACACTCAGGTAGTGGGTGACACACCCACTTGCTCGTCCTGGCTTCACCATGGCAGCATGCACATTTCACTCCTTAACCTTGAACATGGCCACTGACTTGCTTTGGCCAAGGAGATGTTAGCGGAAGTGACCCAGGCAGCAGACTTGCCCTCTTGTGCTCTGGTGTGATCACGAGAGAAGCCCATCGGTTCCAGAGCCAGAGCACATGTGGCCTGGAGCCGAGCCCGGAAAACACCAGCTCAGCCCCATCAACCCACACACCAGCGGTGGGAAATGGATACTCTGGGTTTGTTGGCCACTTAGATTTTGTTACGTAGAGCAGCTGACGAACAATGATGGTAAGTCTCCTTTCCATGGGGATCACACTGTTCCAGGCGTGGTACTGGCCCGTGTCCTCACGTCTCTCCGTGGAACCCTGACAACAGCCGCAGGTGTCATATCTCCACTTTGCAGGTAAGAAAACAGGCTCAGACAGACAGAGCAGTTTGTGAAGGGCAGGCCTGGTATGTAAAAGGGCTGAGACTCAAATCCAGGCTGGCCCGTCTCCGAAGCCCAGCGCGGCTCCATGGAGCCCGGGGGTGCCAGCGGTGGCCCCACTCTTGAAGATGTCGGAAGCACTTTGCGCCCAGGAATCCCAACACCCTGGTTAGCAAAGCGCATCATTTTATTTCATGAGTTTACTCACCTCAAAACATCCCAGCCGAGGACTGCCTTTCTCAGTGATGACGGAGCCCCACAGAGGGCTGCAGAGGGCTTTCGGTGTGGCACCGGGGAGCCTGCTCCTGGCCATGCCCAGCCCTACGGCCACAGTCAGCGGTGAGAAGTCATGTGCCGGGAAAGATGGTGGTGCTCCCGGAAGCACTCATGGCAGAGGGGACATTCGAGCGCTTCGTCTCTCAGCTTCTTCGAATGCAGGTCAGGCCCTGCATGCTCCTTCCGGTGGTGGGACCGCATATGCGAAACAAGGTCAGAGGTCAGGCGAAAGGAGAGGTTGCACTTGGCGCACCGGTTCTGGGTGGACAGGCCCAGGGAAGTGAACACGGATGGCAAGAGGGCCCAGGAGATGGAGGAGGAAGACGAGGCTCTGGGTATTTGGGGCATGGCATGCGTTACCCACAGTGTGGGGGTGCCCAGGCCAGCATTGCCATGAGCAGCGTTTTGTGGCAGCATCTGCAGGTCCCAGGAGTCACTCACCGAAGCCGTGGAGATGGAAAGTCTAGCCCAGCGAGGGATGTCTGCTATTTGGATGGGTCCCAACAGCTCCCTGTGAGCACCTGCAGGTCTGCCTGCCGGGAAGGGAGAGGCTGACCCAGGTCTCCCTGGTGGGCACCTGGCTGGTTTGCGGAAGGCACTTCTCTGCTCCCTTCCAGCTCTGCTGGGCCATGCGGCAGAAACTGTGCTGCTAGCTGGCTCCCTAGGGGTGCCCTGCGTCTGCTGCTGAGGGCCAGGCTGGCCTGTGAAGTCATCATGCTCCCTCTCCTGGGCCCACATGTCCTGAAGCCTCTTCTTGAAGTGAGGCATCTCCATGAAGGTGCTCTGCTCTTGTTCCCAGTGCACCGTCTGGGCCAGTGCTTTTCCCAGTCTAAGCTCGCCCGGGGGTGTTGGCAGTGCCAGTTCTGCGCCAGCCTCCTGCTGGCCACGGCCGCTGAGGGCAGCGTTGGAGCCCGGGTGCTTGGTTTGCTCCAGCAGCACTGGCTTGCAGCCCCAGGTTTGCAGGACCCCCTTTCCAGCAGCCGTGTTGACTAGCGGGACCTGGGACAGCTCAGCAGGTTGGCACTCCAGCAGTTGTGGTCTTCAGGGAAGAGCTGTAAGACTGGAGAGCCAGCTGGGTGGGCCAGCTTGGACCGCAAGCCTCTGCAGAGAAAGGAAGCATCAGGCAGCTGTTTGTATCCAAAGAACCCTGACTACTATAGATGCCACACTCACCCTGTCTCAGAGCTTTACCTCAGCTCTCCTCAGGGAAGGACAGTTACTGCACAATGCTGCCACCCAGAGGCGTGACTCAGTACTGTTTCCACCCCCGTCAGCATCCAGGTAGCAGAGACTGTATTAATGGAGCACACAGGGCATCCGACAGCCAGTTCTGACTTTGTGGACAGCTCTAACATGTTTGCATGCTGATTTGGAGCAGTTTGCATTTCTTGCTACAAAGCATGCCAATCTCCCCCCACCCCACCCCCAAATCCTCAGAAATGCCAAGAACTTTAAGCAAATGGGACAGGAGCTCCTGCAGTTATTGGCATCAGAGAGATAAAAGCTGAAGCGACAAATACCCAGGCATGGCAGAAGATGTGGGGCTGTGCCTGGCCTCCACTGCTATACCTGGGGTCAGCCACTCTGTGCTTGTTCCCTCCCCTGGAACATCTGGGAGTCTCTCCCACCTGTCTCTGCTCCCTGAAAGTGCCAACACTTGCTTCTCCTCACATTAATCCACTTTTCTTCTGCTCAACTGGCAACCAAACTCTTGTGCCCACTCACTGCGCACACTCAGATGGATCAGCTTCCCTAGGCTCTTAAGGATTGGAGGGGACATATATGTGGCCATATGTGAGGGTGGCATTGAAGAGGAGAGGGTGCCCTCTGCCCGGGTGGGGAGGTACTCTTCCCTGTCTCTCCCTCATCAGCCCCACCAGCAAGTTCTAGAAATTGGAAAGACCATCTTCAAAGCACCTGCCACAGCTAGCAAGCAGTGCTGCTAGGACACACTCCAAGCTTTCATATTAGAAAAGATTTCCAAAGGCCCAGGAGGACCTGACAGCAGACGGCTGAGTTTCTTCACAGGCCAGGCACTTGCACAGGCTTGTTACACATAAATACCATGCGGGCTCATGTCAGCTCCTTCCCCCTGCCCTGTTCACACCCCACATAGGAAAGGAAGCTCAGGCACTCGTTCCTCCCTCTATGTAGGTGGCAGGCGTTCACGATAGGTGCTTTGCATGTGTCACCTCCTTCCACCTTCACCCTTTTTCACAGACAAGCGAACATGAGTTTTAAAAAGCTCCACACCCTACCCAGAGTCCCCTGAAAGTAGGAGGTGCAGCTGGGGCTGAAACCCAAGAGTGTGTCCCCAAAGCCCACTCTGGTTGCACTACCCATGTCAGCCTCACATGCCCCAAACTGTGCTTCCAGGGGTCTGAGCCCTTCTTTTTTTATTTAACTTAATTTTATTTTATTGTGGACAGTATTACCGATGCCTCCCTGTGGTCCTGCTGCACCTCGCATTCCTCAGCAGACACCCCCACCCCTGGGCTCTTTCACTGCTCAGGTGGCCTCTGCCAAGCACAGCTGTGCGGACCCTGTGGCCAGAACTGTGCAGAGTGCCCTAAGCCACAGCTGGGACAGCCCTCTCCTCAGCACTGAACTTTGGATATGTGGCCTGACTGCAGGATGGAATATTTTGCTACCAAGATCCTTCATGATATGAAAATAGAAGTCATTGTTTATTGGCTATATTAAGTGTCTCCGTGCCAGAGGCTCAGTCACCTTACTTCATGGACTTTCCACAGCAACCATATGAGGAAAGTTGCATGTTTCAACTCAACTGCACTCATCTTCAACCTGCCAAATAGCAGGCTGCTGAGCTCAGCGCTGCACTCCAGCTTTTTGAAACACTGTGAATCCGGACTCTGCCAACTGCTGTGTTAGATATCCATCCAATTCCATTTTCTATCAGTGCCACAAGACAAATCTTAACAATGAGGAGGAGGAGAGAGAAGAAAATGACATAACACATGAAAATAATAATAATGAGGAGGAGGAGGAGCAGGAAGAGGAGGAGGAAGCAAAAAAGCCAATGAAGATGCTGACTGGGACTTTGGCATGACTCCAGCCTCCCTGAGGGTCACCACTCTCCCATGTGCCTGCGCTGCTGGGTAAGATCACTCAGGCAAGTGCAGAGAATGTCCTCCAAATTCTGCTGTGGCCCCACCAAATCCCAGCACACTGTGCGCCACAACCACCAGATCTGAGCTTCTCAGAATGGACAGTGATGCGAGGTGGACATGGCTTGGCCCAGTGAGCCCCTGCTGACTGCAATGCTCATCTCTTCTTGTTGATGGACTTCCAGGCTCCTCTCCAAGTCAGCATCCGACTTTGGTCTCGTCCAGCACCAGGCTCCATACACCTCTGTCTTGTACCCCAAGGCCTCTCGGATGACCTCTGCAGAAATGTGATATCCCCTCTAGGGTCACTCCATGCCCTGGCCAGGGAGTTCTGGGGCAGGTGACCTCATGCACAGACTCCCTCCTTCTTTCCCACCTGGACCCACCCATGCCCTTTCAAACTGGGGAACAGGTCTCTGTCCCTGGCAAAATGAAGCTGCGCCTCCCTCTTTCTTCCTCCATGACACCAGCTGCCCCGAAAGCCAGTGGGCCTCTGTAGCCTTTGTTCTCCTTGCTCCCAAACAACAGTAATGAGCCTTTGTTCTCCTCTGCTCTCTCCAACAGCCTCAGTTTATCCCAGGATCTCATTCCCTAACACTATCTGGTCCTCATCATGCTCTATCATGTGTGTCCTGAGAAGACGTTTTTCTTGTCCTCCTTGGTCTTTTCAGCCTGAACTCAGTAACATATCCTCTGAGCCACAGAGACATCTTCAGTTCCATCCGTGTTCTTCCTATTAAAAGTACTGGATTTCAATTTCAGACTCCAACTGTCTCTGAGCCCTTGCTTAGATCATGGGATTACTAAGTGATGATCTTTGAAACCACCCGAAATTGAGTTGTCAAGGTCACAGGATATCCGACCACATCCAACCATCCCACCGGACGATGCTTCTCCCTCGTGCTCCCAACCCTCCTGGGTGGCCCACCAGGGTTCTGCTGACCAACATGGCAAGTGCTCATTCTAAAAGATGAAGCCTCACCAAGCCCACACTGGTAACAGCACGTGTTTTCTTTGTTTATTACCCATTCCCCGGGGCACTGACTGCAGACTCTGGCCATTCCTTCATCTGGGAATTACTTTCCTTTTCATGCCCTCCAAGCCCCTCCCACGTGACCATCAAGCCCTACATCACAACAAAGCAGACTCCTGGTCAGATGCTCGGATCAAACGTGGCTTTGATCTACCAAACCTATGATCCTGATGAAGGTGTGGATCTTTTCTCTGCCTGTTTCCTCATTTATGAAAAAGGGATCACCTTGGTACCCACTGTGGTTGTAAAGACTAGATGGATTAATACATCTGAGTGCTAAAGAACCTAGCTCAATAACTGTTAGGTAGTATCAATTTATCAATTTATCATCACACTGGAGGCCAGATGCATGGATTTGTGTACCGATGGAGTCCCTTGGCCTAGCCTGTGGTGATCGAACCAAAACTGGCTCTCTGACATCCCCTGAGGGGTCCTAGTTTGTAAGAGGGTGGTTCTCAGGTGATGCACTCCAGAACCAGGCTCCCTCCTCTCTTGTTCCCGGTGTGTAACCAAGAACTGCAGCTGCCAAGTCATGCAGCTCAACAGCTCCTGCATTGAGCATCTGTCCTCTTGTGGTCAGTGTGCATCAACCCCATGATGGTCATTGAGGATCATAGCTACTGGTCAGTCAGCCAGTTGGCTGATCACTTAGGCTTTTATATATATGAAAGACTAATGCGGAGGAAAGAAGATGGTGGCATAGGTAAACACTCCTAAACGGCTACCGGGCACAAGTCCAAAAAAAAACTCTATAAAACAAAAGTCTACCTCCCAAAAAACAAATGAAAGCTGGCTGAGAGGAAGCCCTACATCTAGACTGAAAGAGAAAGAGAAGAATCCAGGGCACAAGCACTGAAAAACTGAGGTAGGGGGGGCGCGGATGTGATACGGGCTGGTGGTGGATCCAGGCTGGCGGAGGGCGGTGCTTTCTTCAACCCGAAGAGAGACAAGCGTCCAATCTCTCTGAAATCTAGTTTCTGGGGAGAGGCTAGACTGTCTGCCATCAGGTCAGAAAGTGAGGCTGGCTTGCCTGCAGAGCTGAGATTGTTTGCTGTGCTGTGGTATGAGATGCAGGGAGATGTGGGGATGCCATCAGAGAGGCCGCAGACAGCAGCCCTGGCTGTTGGCCACGCCCCAGCCTAGTGATGCCCTGAGACTCCGCTCTGAGACTCCACCCCTCACAACATATCCAAGCTCCAAGCAGTGGACTTTGCATATGAATGGCCCTCTCTGTTGCAGTTTAGCAGAATTGCAACCTAGAACAGATCCAAGGAGGACAGGACAGTACTGGTCTCAAACAGTAGCTGAACTGCACCTCATTGAGACCCAGAAACCAGAGTTCTAGTGCTCAGTTTCAATCCCTCACCCCATAAGTGACACATTCGGGAGACAGTCTCAGTGAGCACCAAAGCCCCACTGAAACAAGGTGTGTCTCTAGCGCAGCAGTTCTTCCTTTATAGACATAGCGGATCCTCACAGACAATTGGCCTGGAGGTCAATTCCTCCCAGTGTACCAACAGCAATCAAGGCTTAATTACACCAAGACTTTACACTAAGCCCACAAAGGGATACAGCAAAAACAACCACCTCAGGTGATTGGGGAAGCTGAGCTACTGACCCCTATAGGTCACCGACCACACAAAGCCACTCCATCAACACAGGGAGGCAGCCAAAATGAGGAAACACAGAAGCATGACACAAATGGGAGAGATGGAGAAGAGTAAACTACTGGATGACGCACAGTTCAGAATCACATTTATAAGATTACTCAAGAATCTTCTAAAAACCTTTGAGAAACTTGATGAGACCTCCAAGAAGCTTGGTGAGACCTTCAAGGACCTTAATGAGAATACCAAGAGAATGGAAAAGGACCAGCCA